AGAGCTGTGCAGTTCAACTGCCCATCAGTGAGAAGACACCACAGGACACAATAGCAAAGGCTTCTGAGAAGCTCCAGCCCAGGCTAATCGAGTAACTTTCCTAATGGCTTAGCAAACTGTGCAGTCTCCTGACTCCAAGAAGTCAAGGACATAGTCACATTTATTAGATTGCACAATATGATGAAAATTATTCTTTTATAAGTTACTATTTCAATATAAAATCCTCTTTAAAGTTTAAAGTTTTACAATCTCTTTAAAGTTTACCTTTCATCTATGTTTATGATGGAATATTGTTCAAGATCCTAATGAATTTTCTCCTCTTTTTTTTATTACAATAGAACTAAACAGTAAAATACCATTCTGCCTGTTCATTACTAACACAGATTTAATTTGGTTTTGGCTGTTGATCTCAGATTGATTCCAAACTATGGGTATACTTCACTGATGCCATTATACAGAGGAGAAAACAAAGAATGTTACAAAACTTAGCATACACATTTCAGGATATGGATCCATGTGGTCTCATTCTGTTTACATGTGTCCATAGCAGAGCATGAGTTAAAAATCAGGACTTCCAGTCTCAGTGTTCTGCCTGGTGAGCCATAGAATTTTTACAGCATGATTTTCTTCTGCTTTACTGTATGACTTAAAATAATCCATAAGGTTTATCTTCAGCCTGCCCTGCATCACACACACAAAAAACCTGCACTTTACTTATATATATTACTGTATTCTAATCTCTTAAGGACTAGTAAAAAAAAAAAAAAAAAAAAAAAAGTGTTGATGGCCCTAATAATTATTCCAGGAGCTGGACTTGAAGACTGTATGTGAGAGATTCTGCCTGGCTGTGTATACTTGCAGCTCTTTTTTTCCTCCTCAGCAATTTACCTTTCAAGTTCATGTTTGAGTTTTAATCAGGTTGTAGATTTGAAGTGTCGCACAGGAGAATTGTAAGGACATAGTGTCTATAGTTAAGCACCACATTCTCTACTGATGGTTGCATTTTTTTGCATTATAAAGTACTTGGGGTTGTGCAGACAATCAGATACTGGCACTATTTAAACATTCCCAACCTTATCATTCATCATACGCACTGGAATAGACACAAGGATAAGCTCTCTCAGCCTGCTAATTTTAACTCTATATTAATATTAATACAAAACAAATTTCTGAAGGAAAGGACAAAATATTCTTGCTTAAATTCTGATTGCCAGCTTTACACAAATTGTTCTTGATTACCAATAAAATTGGAGCAGCAGAAACCAACAGACCAATAGAAGTGTCTCCTTACAGGCAGCTTATATCATACATCATCAAGAGAAATATTTGAAGATACACAAATAAATTTGGTTCCATATACCAAATAAAAAGGTTGTGATACATGTTGCCAGTTACTGAGATTTGCCATAATTTCTGAACAGAACCCAAAGTACTTTGCAACCAATCTTAAATTGTGATGCCTGACATAATCAAACAAAATCGACTTCATTCTTCAGAGGAGCTATATGTCATTAATGCTGCAGACACGTTCTTTTGGTTTATTGGACAAGCTTTCAGTCTCAACTAGACTGGGTTACTTGAAAGAAGGACAGAAAATTCTGAAAATGATTGATGCTACTGTAAGTTAGCCTGGGCCACCTATCAAAATTCGGATATGCAGCGACTGATCATCTTAAAGAAGCACAACAAACCTTGTAGGCTTTAGTCCTGTTGCTTACATCCCATTAAAAAAAAAAAATAAAAGCTACTACCCTCCTCAGCACCCTTCAACTCTACCCATCTGAGCAACTTTAGTTATGCTGAAATGTAGGACTAGCCCTAGCATAACCGGCCTTTATAGAAGCTGGCCAACCAACTGCTTCCCTGAATAATTTTCAGAAAGAAGATTAGTCTATCTAGAGTCTGATAAGAATAACGTATACATACACAGCTTAATATGCATTGTGCTTTATACTATATGCATTTATATATAATATTTATATATATTTATATCATATACTTATGTATATATACACATAAACTGAATTTCTCCATATAGACACCAGCCATTTAGTCTGCTCAAAAATGAGAAAACACACGAGATGATAGCCCTGACCTGCTGGCTGGAAAGCACAGGAAGTTTATAAGGTCTGAACAGCTCCTCAACCTTTTCTGCCCATCTCTCAGAAGATTCCTCTGTCAAACAGCTTCATCTGTCATACAGGTACTTTGCTGGTCTGTTTACTTGTGCATTTAGGACTGAGATTACTTGCTTCCTTTAACTAACCAGAGGAGATGGTAGTAATCACAGCACAACAGCCCTTCTGGGATGCCTTTCTTGCATAGCCTCTCTGTACATTCTTCTGCAAAACACTGCAAAGTAAATTAGGCATATACAAACAGAGGATAAGAACAGAGGAGAGGGATTTTTTTGTTTGGATGGTTTTTTTGTTTCTATGTGCTTTGAGATCCAACTAGAAAAAAGAAATAATGCTGGATCTTCCCTGCTGCCTGGAAAAGCAGGTGTAATATTTACTGAGGTATTTCCTAGGCATGACTGGAAAAATGATGCTATTTCCTTAAGTGGTAACCCTTCTCAGGAAAATTACACTGATACCCCAGCACCAAGTTAAGAGTGCAAAAGGCAGATTAAAGTGTTTATTCTTCAATAATACAAAATAGACTCCTACCAGTTTAATGTCCTTAGGGGACTATCTGTAGAAGAAATGCCAGGCTGGGTGGAGCTATTTATTTGCCTATTTGAGACTTCCTACACTATATACACCATTGCTAGGTGCTTAAGTGCGTTAACTTGTGTTAGGTACTGTTCTAGAGATCTGTGCATTTCAGTACTGACTGAAGCTATTCCTATACGGCTGACACTTTAGAAAGAGCTTTATACTGTGGATGATTCAAAATCTTAAAGAAAGGGCACTGGAAGAAAGTTAGAGTTATCAGAAAGAGCAAAGAGCACCTCACATGCTTGCCCCTCAGTACTTAAACAGCACTTTGCCTTACCTTACAGACCTCTGAACATCTCAAAAGGATTTTAAGGATCCTAGTGCCAGCCTGCTCTCTCAAGACTGATTTCTCTTTGTAATGCTATTGTGCATTCATATGATCAGCAAAGAGATTGATTTTTTTGCAGTGGTGGGCAGAGAACTGCCTGGAACTCCTGATAGAGCAGAAGTCTGATAGAGCAGAAAAAGCCTCATTAGATATGAAGACAGATGAAGAGAGCAAAGAAATGGAAAATAGTTGTATTAAAAAAAAAAAAAAAAAAAAAAAAGTTGAAAGAGTGCAAAGGAGAAAAATAGAATGGAGTCCTTACTAGGACAGACTTCATTCTGAGAAAGCATGCCAGCTCTCAAGAAGCCACTGCTGTTTATCAGTACTTTTATCAGAAAAAAATAACAAGTCAGAATAAATAAAAATTACAGAAAGACTGGCAGATACTTTAGAAAAATAAGCTATATTGGAGAAGATTTAATAATTTTATCTAATGTAGGAAAACACTTAGCAGAATTGAAAAGAGGGGGGAGGGGGAAGGGCAGAAGGGAAGACAGCAAAGTGCCATCTTCATGGTGGTTCTTCCACAATTAGCATCCTTATGTTGGTTGCTCTTACCCTGGTTAAAGAAAGATGCTGAGTGCTGTCAAAGTTCTGTCTGATACTCTTTGAAATTCAAGTTATCAGTGGAGAGGAAAGAAAACTTGTGATTCAAAAGTGAAACATTTTTAATTTTTATAGTGTAAGCAGTGACAATTTTGACATCCATATTTTTCTTGATTTTCCCAGGAACTTTTCACTTCTCTCATTGTCAAGACATGCACGCTTTAAACTTCAGAACTTCTTATAATCTTTGTGGCCTAGAATTACTTGTAGACCACAATCTCTCACAGGGGCAGGACAACTTATCTGAAAGAGGCAATATGAAGGCTTAGTATTTACACTGTTCAGACCCAAGAGGCATTGTTAGTCATTGCAGACTCACATCATCATGAAGGAAAAACATGTCCCAGCCTCATCCAAGCACCAAAGAAAATTAAATCTGTCAATCTGGCTGCAAACCTCAGCCTAACAGTGTGGACTGCACAAATGATCTGTGGGTCCCACTTGCCTCTGATTTGACTGGAAACCTTATCTGGCTGCTGTTCTCTCTCTTCTCGAGTATCTCTAAATCCAGTGTATGTGTCTCCACGTTGTCCCACCCCAAAGTGCCTCTGTCAAGAGCTCGCTAAGAAAGTGTGTGGTGGCTGTTGAGAAGGACTGCATCAGAGCTCCTTTTTGCTCGAAGATTACTTCTGGGATAGCAGCGACAAATTGGTGAGGTCCAGAAAGCAGGAGCCACGGGCTCTACTCCTTTGCTGCCCTCTACTGCAGCATAGCTTCTCTGAGCCAGAGGCATCAACTGAAGCTTCAGACAAAGCTGGAGTTGAGACCAAGGAATGCAAGCAAGGCGCAGAGACAGCGAGGGGAAGTGGGAGACAGCTTAGGGCACAGCTGCATGGGGAGTGGAGTTGGGGACTGAGATCTGTGGAGATGGCAACAGGAGGCACAGCAATGCCAAGCGCTGCTCTAGAGGGCAGAACACAGCAGTCACATCCCGGGGGCTTCGAGGTCTGACCTTCCCACTCCTTGCACAAAAAAAAAAAAAAAAAAAAAAAAAAAAAAAAAAAAAAAAGTATTCCATGCCTCAGGATTCTTTAATTTCTAGTTAAGAGTCTACAAGCAACTAAAACCTACCTATGTAACAAATTTTGTGATATTACTATAAATTACTTTTCATCGAGCATTATGCTGAGCGTAAATGTCACAGTTCCACTTAGGGGCTGGGAACGGGGAGGGACAATTAACTACGGAAAACAACCACGCCACGTGTCGGCTGTTTCCCCTGTTCAGGCTCTTGGGAGCTCCGAAACAACAAGAAAGCCAGCCTGTAAACTCCCCAAGCCGAAGTTCTGGGGCTCCGAAGCAGCGAAGCTGCGTGACAACAGCACGGGGGCTGCACGCAGGTGCTAAGGCCTCGCTGCAGAATGCAGCCGCAGCTCGAGCGACCAGATTTCTCTTTTGACAGAACTGTTCACTGCAGCTCCGCAAAGCACAACAAACCCACATGCAGCCACCTTCCGCTGGGCCCCGCGCCACCGCCTCCGCCTGCCGCCCCGTCTTCCCGCTTCCTCAATCAAGCGCCGAGCGGCGGATCGCGGCGGGGACCGATCCTCTCTGCGTTACCGTTACCGCCTTCCGCTCCTCCCATCGGAGTTCAACCCGGCTGCCCGCACCCCGGCGGGAGAGGTGGGGCGTGCCCAGGTCTCTCCGTCGCCCGGCTCTTCCGGCGGAGGCGGCTGGTCTGGCGCCTGGCGTTCCGTACTCGTATCGCACCGTGAGCAGCGAGAGGCTATGGAGCGCGTCTTTACGCCGCTAGACTGTCTCCTGCCCGCCGGTACGGTATCTCCCGCAGCCGTGGCTTGCATTCGGAGCGGGGGCGGTTCTGGGGTGGCTTGCCTCGCATTCGCTTCGCGGGCGGACGACGGCCTCGGCGTGGTGCCGGCTCCGCCAGGCGCCGCGTGGGAGCTGCGGAACGCTGCAGCGCGGGCACGGCACGTGTCCGACCGGGTTCTTCTCAGAGAGAGGCTGCTTCTGCCAGTGAAACGGCACGGCCGGTCCGATGGGCCCAACGGAGCATGCTACTCGGGCTTAAAGTAAACTTCCTTGTGTGGGAATTCACTGCCGTTTAAACTCCTTCGGATTTAATTGCTGCCTTTGCTTAATTTGCCGGAGCTGTCTGGTATTGGCAGGTCTCGGGCCTCCCGTGGGGTTTGTGGCCTGCAGGGGATGTGTGGGCCTGCCTTCTCGGTGTGCCTTTGGCTTTAGAGTTCTGAGTTCAGGCGCCGAGTTGAACCTTCGCTGTTCTGTGAAACCATCACGTGCATCCAGCTGCCTGCCACAGTGCTTCCAGGCAGGGCTTTGTGGGTTGGATTTTCTCATATTCACTTACCTATATTTATTTATTGTTGTCCTAAGCTGTTATTGAGTGTTCTGTTTCTCTATAAAGAGAAGGAGAATTTGCGTGGGAAGGAGATTTCAGTGAGTTACCTTTGATTCATTGTGATGTGACATCTTCTTGTCTGAAATGAGGAATAGCTACTTACTGAAAACGTGGTAATATTGAAATGAAGGTACCTTAAGAGTTTATCCCTGGGGAAGGACTGGTGTTTCTATGTTCTAAAATATTTGCTCTTGCATTTCCGTGACGTTAGGCCTAGCGTATGTTTCCTGGAAATGTTTTTTTGTCTTTATTTTATTTTTCCTCTTTTTTATGCATGGGTGATGTTGAAGATTTAGGCTGTTCAGTTTGCAGATACCCCACAGCCCAGTTAGAGCAGAGCCTTCAGCTGGGCTGCAAGAAGTGTGCTTCTTCTTGAGAAATGGCTGCTTCAAGTGTATGAACCAATGTGGTTATGCAGGGCTGTGTGCCTGCAAAATACAGTGATGCTGTATCTGGAGCCTCATCATTGTTAGTAGCCTTCCTTACCCATGGCAGCAGGGTTGGCACTGTAGAATCTTTATGGACTTTTCCAACCCAAACTGCTCTATGATTGTCAGCATCTTGGATTGGTTATCCTGTATAAAGCATGCAAGGCTGATCAGAATAATTTTTCAATTCAACAGTTTTAATATATTGACATCCCACTTCGGGATCTCAGAAATAAAGTTTTCCACATCATGTAGCTGAGATGGGGCTCCTGAATCCTTGGGAAAGTACTGGTTGGTCTTCCAAGTACTGTTGACCTTGTCTTTAATAATGTATATAGCATACAGCAATATATAGAGTGTTTCTGATCACTTTCTAAAGACCTGTGCAAATATAGCAGCATGTTATCACGAGGACAGTATGAAAGATTTGCCTGCAGTGTTTGGAGGCTGTTACTTGAATTCTGTTTTTGAGACTGTTCACAAGTACAGTGCTGATACTTGAACTAGAATGAAGCACTTAGAGGAATCTAGTATTATGTACCTGAATTTAAATTTCAGAGCCACCTGCTCTTTGGTAATTTTCTTGTGTATGTCACCCTGTGGTGACACCTCTGTTAGGTCAAAGGAGTAGAAATTTGAAGCTGCTATGCTAAACTGAAGTTCTGAGAGCCTCATAGACTTAGAACATATTTGGTCAAACAGCTGGAGCACAGCTGAAAATCACTGTGCTACAGCCAGAGAGTTGTGTTTTGCATTTCAAAGCTGTGTTGATTTGCTTAACATAATTTAGAATGAATAACGAGGTGAAATTTCAGAGTGGGTTTGAGCTCTAAATTTGAGCGTTACATACTGAAACAAATCTGTTTTACTTTCTTTGTGAAATTGTGAAGAGGCTGAGAGAAATCCAGCCTGGTGTTCTGTGGGCTGCTCTGAAAGAATCAGGTGGAAACCACAGAAAGTGAAACTGTGACACAGCCACATGTCTGTCTGTAGGAGGCTCATGGTGGATGATGTTGTTCTACAGCCTATATATCATCTCAGGGGTAGTGTAGCTTCTTCTGTGGCCTCCTTTGAGTGACTAGCTGTTTCCCTCCTGCTGTTTCTATCCTTGTCTTGCACTGTTGCCTCCTGTTGCTTATCCCAGACTGTGCTTCAGGCATTTCTGCAGAGAGATAAGTGTTTCTAATTTGTTTTGTTTCATAGCATGAACTTTAGAAGCCAAGTCTACTATTCTTGTGACTGCTTGACAGTGTCATAGTATCATAGCATACTCTAAGATTGCCCCTGAATGCCACTTGAAAATTTTCAATAATGAAGATTGCCAGCTGTATGTTTTCACAGGGAACATTTTACTTTGCATACCATGATCCAGATTTTCCACTCATCTGCCAATGCAATTGGTGGTTTCTTACCTTGCACAGTCCTTGAAATGCTGCTCATCATTGGTTATTTCAAGTGGAATGGAGCAGAAGGGCATCCTTTTCTGTTTGCAATCAGGCAGCTCCCAGCTGTAGCCTCTTGATTTGTTCTGGTCCTTGCAGAAGGCTCACCAGACTGAGCCTCTTGTGCCTGACAGATTGATGAGTGGTTCCCCTCTCCTTATCTACACTGCACCAAGTCTTGCAACTGAGGACAATCACAAACTATGCTTTGGTGAGAGCTGCTGGTCTTAGCTTCTAGGACCACCAGCAAGATGTGTAGGTAACTGCATGGAATACAGTTTTTGGGATTACTCAGGAATATTAAGTGGTTAGAAAGTATGGCTGAATACCAGAATGTGTGCATCAATGGAGGGAGATGGAGGGAGAAACAGTAGGAGCAAAAGCATGATGAAGTGATGGGAATGCAAAGTGTATGTGTATGCTGCTACAATTTTTGTGTGGAGTGCAAAAGTACATGCTCTTCTCCATGTTGTGGTAACAGTGCACCTGCTAAAGAGGAATCAGGAGGGCACCTTCTAGCACTCAGGTCCTGAGAGGAGATTTGAGGTCGGTTGTCAGCTATAAATGCCATCTGGTAGTAAACAGTTAAAACAGAAATATGGTTTTGTACATCCTTATTCAAAGTACAGGAATGTATCAGTGTGGTGTAGGTTTCTTCTCCTAAATAGAATATTCTTCAAATACTGGTTAGCTGTTTCATGAAACAGAACTGTTCCTCAGTGTGGCATTGCCATCTGGAATCAAATCCAGTTACGCGGACCTAGGCCTGCTCCTGATTTTCTGAGAGTATCACTCAGTGATCTGCCTGCAAATTCAGTTTTATTTTGTAATTAAGTCTTCCTCTTTCCTCTTCCAGAGTTCTCAAACTGTAGCTTCATCTCACTGAAACAAGATCATCTTCATGTCATGAGAGAGTCACAGCCAATAGGATAAAGACTTTCAGAATTAGGTGGAAATGTATAGTTGTCCCACTGTGTAGAGGCACTGTAATATTTTGCATTGAATTTAGTGAGAAGAGAATGAGAGGAAGCAACAATACACTGAATGCTCTTTCCTCGTTCTATAAGCCCTTTGTTTTACTGAATGTCTTCTTGTGGAAGTGTTACTGACTGTAAACGAGCTATCTCTAATACAGTTGTACCACCGTGCTGTTTTTTAAAGGTTTACACTTTCTTTTGAATCTTGTTTTTCTTACATTGAAGGCTGGAAGTTGAAACAGAGATGGTGAAAAAGGTGTGTTTGCTGTTCACTAAATGACCTCCAGACAAATTTCAGTAACCATCTGAGTGTTCCTTCAATGGGAGGTTTGTCTGGTCTCTATATTGCACTGTCCTGCAGATTAAAATACAAAATTCAGTGGCAGGAAATCAAGGCACATATGGGGTTAAGAAATCAACCTGCTTGTTGGCTGTTGAATGTTAAATGCTTATGTACAGAAGGTGATGGAGCCCCAGGTTATTGATTAGCTTCATAATTGTACAGGTTTTGTGTTGAGTTAGACTAGTGAAGGTTTTTAGTTGAATGAGATCATTCAGAAGCCTTGTCTGAGTTCACAAAAGCAGGAAAACGCTATCGGGGATTTTAGTCCTTTTAATTGATTTCAGGAATTCCTCAGTGAAGTTAGCAGGTGCTTTCATGTGGCTATTACATAGTTCTTTTTTCAGTTGAGATGATTTTTTTTTTTCCCCCTACATGAATGTTACCTACTGCTGCAAGAAGTAGCTCCATTTGGTAGAGTTACTTGGGCTGCCCCAGTTTCTTTTTGGAGTAGTTCAGCACCTGATCTCAAGCCCTGCTGCTTACTACTCTGCTCTGCTGGATCAGCAGTTATTTTGTGGGCTAGTTATTGGATAGGTTGCTTACTGGGGCACCAGAAGCTTTAAAAATATTTCCATTGATCCTATTTATCGATAAATATAATTGTGAATTCCACAAGGGAGAACAGAAGGCTTAAACAGCAGAGGGAATAGTTATGCTGAACTTATGCAACATTATACCCAACTATTCTATTTCTAGTGTGTGTGTATATATATGTGTGTGTGTATATATATATATATATACACAAATATACACACAGACATACACACACACACACACACACACACACATTTTCTGAAATAAATTGTCATTTTCCTGTGAGAACAAAGCTGGAACTGAATAAATACAGGATTCTGAAATACTAATAAAAGGACTCTACTCTGAAATAATGCAGTTATGTAGCCCAAATAATGTAAATTAGGACTGAGAAGAGGAATTAGAAATCCAATAGAAAAGTTGGTGATGTCTTGTTTGAAATTGGAAATGTAGTTTTGTAGTCTAATTCTGTGATGCAGTTTCATTCCACTCCCTCGTTTTTTTTTCTCCCACTGATAAATGAACATGGAGAACATATGTTTTACTACAACAGTAACTGAAATAAGTTCTGTGTTTTGTTACTTTTCTAAAGTGGAAGAATTGTCAAAAGTGTCAAAAGTGGAGAATTTGGCAAGGAAATCCTACTGCGGGAGAGGCATGCAACTGTAGC